GCCTGGCCACGGAACGGAGGGCAGCCTCGTGTCGAGAGCACTGCAGGGAGTCCACGGGGTGCCTGGCCACAAAACGGAGGGCAGCCTCGTGTCGAGAGCACTGCAGGGAGTCCACAGGGTGCCTGGCCATGGAACGGAGGGTAGCCTGGCACCGATTGCACTGCAGAGAGTCCATGGGGAGCCTGGTCACGGAACGGAGAGCAGCCTGGTGCCGAGTGGACTGCAGGGAGTCCACGGGGCACCCAGCCATGGAACAGAGGGTAGCCCGGTGCTGAGTCCACTGCAGGGAGTCCACGGGGCAGCTGGCCATGGAACGGAGGGGAGCCTGGCACCGATTGCGCTGCAGGGAGTCCATGGGGAGCCCTGTCTCAGAACAGGGTGGAGCCCCGTGCTCAGTACACTGCATGGTGTGCACACAGATCCATGCCACGGAACGGGATGGAGCCCGGTGGTCTCTACGCTGCAGGGAGTCCATGCGGAGTCCTGCCATGGGGTAGGGTGGAGCCCGGTGCTCACAGCGCTGCATGGCATGCACACAGAGCCGTGCCACGGAACAGGATGGAGTCCGATGGTCAGTACACTCCAGGGAGTCCATGCGGAGCCCTGCCCCAGAGCGGGGTGGAGCCCGGTGCTCACTACACTCCACGGCATGCACGCAGAGCCATGCCACGGAACAGGGTGGAACCCAGTGGTCACCATGCTCCAGGGAGTCCATGCGGAGCCCTGCCCCAGAGCGGGGTGGAGCCCGGTGCTCACTACACTCCACGGCATGCACGCAGAGCCATGCCACGGAACAGGGTGGAACCCAGTGGTCACCATGCTCCAGGGAGTCCATGCGGAGCCCTGCCCCAGAGCGGGGTGGAGCCCGGTGCTCACTACACTCCACGGCATGCACGCAGAGCCATGCCACGGAACAGGGTGGAACCCAGTGGTCACCATGCTCCAGGGAGTCCATGCGGAGCCCTGCCCCAGAGCGGGGTGGAGCCCGGTGCTCACTACACTCCACGGCATGCACGCAGAGCCATGCCACGGAACAGGGTGGAACCCAGTGGTCACCATGCTCCAGGGAGTCCATGCGGAGCCCTGCCCCAGAGCGGGGTGGAGCCCGGTGCTCACTACACTCCACGGCATGCACGCAGAGCCATGCCACGGAACAGGGTGGAACCCAGTGGTCACCATGCTCCAGGGAGTCCATGCGGAGCCCTGCCCCAGAGCGGGGTGGAGCCCGGTGCTCACTACACTCCACGGCATGCACGCAGAGCCATGCCACGGAACAGGGTGGAACCCAGTGGTCACCATGCTCCAGGGAGTCCATGCGGAGCCCTGCCCCAGAGCGGGGTGGAGCCCGGTGCTCACTACACTCCACGGCATGCACGCAGAGCCATGCCACGGAACAGGGTGGAACCCAGTGGTCACCATGCTCCAGGGAGTCCATGCGGAGCCCTGCCCCAGAGCGGGGTGGAGCCCGGTGCTCACTACACTCCACGGCATGCACGCAGAGCCATGCCACGGAACAGGGTGGAACCCAGTGGTCACCATGCTCCAGGGAGTCCATGCGGAGCCCTGCCCCAGAGCGGGGTGGAGCCCGGTGCTCACTACACTCCACGGCATGCACGCAGAGCCATGCCACGGAACAGGGTGGAACCCAGTGGTCACCATGCTCCAGGGAGTCCATGCGGAGCCCTGCCCCAGAGCGGGGTGGAGCCCGGTGCTCACTACACTCCACGGCATGCACGCAGAGCCATGCCACGGAACAGGGTGGAACCCAGTGGTCACCATGCTCCAGGGAGTCCATGCGGAGCCCTGCCCCAGAGCGGGGTGGAGCCCGGTGCTCACTACACTCCACGGCATGCACGCAGAGCCATGCCACGGAACAGGGTGGAACCCAGTGGTCACCATGCTCCAGGGAGTCCATGCGGAGCCCTGCCCCAGAGCGGGGTGGAGCCCGGTGCTCACTACACTCCACGGCATGCACGCAGAGCCATGCCACGGAACAGGGTGGAACCCAGTGGTCACCATGCTCCAGGGAGTCCATGCGGAGCCCTGCCCCAGAGCGGGGTGGAGCCCGGTGCTCACTACACTCCACGGCATGCACGCAGAGCCATGCCACGGAACAGGGTGGAACCCAGTGGTCACCATGCTCCAGGGAGTCCATGCGGAGCCCTGCCCCAGAGCGGGGTGGAGCCCGGTGCTCACTACACTCCACGGCATGCACGCAGAGCCATGCCACGGAACAGGGTGGAACCCAGTGGTCACCATGCTCCAGGGAGTCCATGCGGAGCCCTGCCCCAGAGCGGGGTGGAGCCCGGTGCTCACTACACTCCACGGCATGCACGCAGAGCCATGCCACGGAACAGGGTGGAACCCAGTGGTCACCATGCTCCAGGGAGTCCATGCGGAGCCCTGCCCCAGAGCGGGGTGGAGCCCGGTGCTCACTACACTCCACGGCATGCACGCAGAGCCATGCCACGGAACAGGGTGGAACCCAGTGGTCACCATGCTCCAGGGAGTCCATGCGGAGCCCTGCCCCAGAGCGGGGTGGAGCCCGGTGCTCACTACACTCCACGGCATGCACGCAGAGCCATGCCACGGAACAGCACCGCCGTCTCCACGCCCGGTAGCTGGGCGGGCCGGCTGGGGACAGGGGGGCCGCTCTGCACCCCCGTCTGTAGCGTGTGCTCAATAAATGGTGTCTAGAGGGGGAGACGCTCCCGTGTGAACGTGCGAGTCTGCGCCGGAGCTGGCGTGCAGGGGAAGTCGGGGAAGGGCTGGGGCATCAGAGCAGAACAGCTGGAGCTCTGGCGGGGAGACCGGTGTGCCCGTGCAGCCATTCCTGTGGTGGGGGAGGGGACAATACTCATCACAGGGCAGCTCCCTGTTGCTGGGGAGCCCCCGGGCCCGGCACCCCCATCCGCAGCCAAACGCAACTGTCAGCCGGCAGGGACACGTGTACAAGACTGGTCAGCGCAGGAACCAGGAGCAGCCAGTGCAGCCCAGCTTGGGGTGAGGGGGCTCAGAGCCATAGCTCTGTCCCCCCCCGCCTCCCAAGCCAGCCCAGACTGCCCCACTTTCGGCTGCCTGGTCCCAGGCCCCCAGCCTGGCGACTCCTTTGGGGTCAGACCCCCTCCCCTGCTCACAGAGGGCATCAACCATTGTGCAGGAGCTGGGTGGGGGCCGCCTCCCTCGGTGGGGGTCACACCCGAAATTTCCATCCCCATCTATGCACTACCCAGGGAAACTGAGGCACACAGTGTTACTCTAGAACAGTAAGCAGGTGACTAAAATCCACACTGGGCAGCCCCTGACCCCTGCTGGAACACGGGCTCATCCAACCTGGGTCTCCTATGGAGTGCCCTGGTCTCCTGTGGGGAGCTGCTGCAGGAGGCCAAGGGGCAGGGCCAAGGTTCGGTTCCCCACAGAGCTAGGGCCCCACCAAACCCACAGGCATGAAAACCACGTCACGGACTGAAATCTCCTCCCCCCGCCCCCGGGGAAATCTGGACTTTTGCGTTTTTAGCCTGTATTTGCCAGGGTTCCAGAGAGCTGCTCAGGGGTGACGGGGACAGAACAAGGAGCAAGGCCCTGCACACTTCCTCCTGCCGAAGGCTCCACACTTGCTCTCGCGCCCCAGCTGGCAGCCCTGGCCCTGGGGCACTGACCCAGCAGTGGGCGCCATGGGGCAGAGGTGTTACAAGAGCAAACCCTGGCATGACAAAGTCCTGGCTGGGAAGACTGAGTTGGGGTTGGTCCTGCAGTGGGCAGGGGCTGGATTGATGGCCCCTGAGGTCTCTTCCAGCCCTAATCTCCATTTCCCAGAGACCAGCAGTTCTTGAGCTGGGGCTGGTTAGCTTTGGAGAGGTGTGGAATGATCCCCCCTCTGCGCTGACTTCTGAGCTGCAGGGCTGGAGCATGGTGTCTGGGTCTGACCGCGGCGACCCAGCGGCCATGCAGAAGTAAAGGTGGCAATACCCTACAGCTACGTCTACACTGGCAGGATTGTCCGGAAATGCTTTTAACGGAAAAGTTTTCCGTTAAAGCATTTTCGGATCAGATCGCTGTTCCACAAAAGCACGTTTTGCGGGAAAGCGTCCGTGCCAATCTAGACGCGCTTTTCTGCAAAAAAGCCCCAATCGCCATTTTCGCCATCAGGGTTTTTTTGTGGAAAACAAATCGGAGCTGTCTACACTGGCCCTTTTGCGCAAAAGGGACTTTTGCCTGAACAGGAGCAGCGTAGTATTTCCGCAAGAGGCGCTGATTTCGGACAGTAGGAGTCAGTGTTCTTGCGGAAATTCAAGCGGCCAGTGTAGACAGCTGGCAAGGTTTTCTGCAAAAGCAGCTGCTTTTGTGGAAAAAATTGCCAGCTGTCTACACTGGCCGCTTGAATTTCCGCAAAAACACTGACGATCTCATGTAAGAAATCAGTGCTTCTTGGGAAATACTATTCTGCTCCCGTTCAGGCAAAAATCCCTTTTGTGCAAAGCTTTTGCACAAAAGGGCTAGTGTAGACAGGCCCCCCCCCCCCACGCCTTTTTGGGTCAGGGCCTGACAGTTACAGCTCCATGCCATTCAGATTTAAATGTCAGATGTAAGCAGCTGAAATCATGTAATTCCCTAGTTTAAAACCCCAGGGACTGAAATTGCCTAACGTGGACGGTGACTTTGGTGGACCCTAGACACCCGCCTGCTGCTGAGGCCCAGAGATGGCTGGGGCCCGAGAGTGCACAGCTGGGAGCTGTGTGCGCCAGATGCTCTGAACCTCTCTAGCGCCGTGTCACACTGGGCTCCAGCATCCTCGTGGCCGTGGCTGCAGGCTCCCTTGCCAGCCTGTGCCTATGCCCTGCACACTTCCTCCTGCCGGGGGGGGGCGCCTGCAGCCAGGCACCATCCCTATGGGATCAGAGACTTCACTGCGGTGGGCATGGGGGCTCCTCAGCACCAGCCCTGTCCCCACCCAGAGCTGCAGCGCCAGCCCCCGGGGTTAATGCAGCTGCGGGTGGCACGGCAGAGACCCCGTGTGGTTCAGTGGGCAGCTGGCCCAGGCCAGGCCTGGAGATCACCAGGAGCCTGCCCACCCTCGGGGAGCTGACGCAAAGCTGCTGCCCTGGCTAGGCGGTGGGCATGGGGGCTCCTCAGCACCAGCCCTGTCCCCACCCAGAGCTGCAGCGCCAGCCCCCGGGGTTAATGCAGCTGCGGGTGGCACGGCAGAGACCCCGTGTGGTTCAGTGGGCAGCTGGCCCAGGCCAGGCCTGGAGATCACCAGGAGCCTGCCCACCCTCGGGGAGCTGACGCAAAGCTGCTGCCCTGGCTAGAGCCGGGGTGCATTGCTGGGAGCTGAGGGCCAGAGGCACCCAGCCCTGTCCTGAGCCCCCTGCATGGAGCAGAGGCCCTGTCCCAGGGGAGCCGTCACCTGCCCTGACGTCGTATGGGCAATGCCACTCCAGGCAGGGCTAACTAGCCCTGACCTGCCTCCATTTGCTCCTTGCAAGGGCAGCTCAGCCCGGGCACGCTTGTCTGAGCCTGCCCCCAGCACCCTCCTCCTCGCAGGGTGGGCCCAGAAAGGGGCCCTGGTGCCGACCTTAGCGTGACAGCCCGTCCCAGGCCCCCCCGTCCTCGGTCTGTGCACAGCCCAGTCTGCGGCAGGTCCCAGGCCCCCCGTCCTCGGTCTGTGCACAGCCCGGTCTGCAGCAGGTCCCAGGCCCCCCGTCCTCGGTCTGTGCACAGCCCAGTCTGCAGCAGGTCCCAGGCCCCCCGTCCTCGGTCTGTGCACAGCCCAGTCTGCAGCAGGTCCCAGGCCCCCCGTCCTCGGTCTGTGCACAGCCCAGTCTGCAGCAGGTCCCAGGCCCCCCGTCCTCGGTCTGTGCACAGCCCAGTCTGCAGCAGGTCCCAGGCCCCCCGTCCTCGGTCTGTGCACAGCCCAGTCTGCGGCAGGTCCCAGGCCCCCCGTCCTCGGTCTGTGCACAGCCCAGTCTGCAGCAGGTCCCAGGCCCCCCGTCCTCGGTCTGTGCACAGCCCAGTCTGCAGCAGGTCCCAGGCCCCCCGTCCTCGGTCTGTGCACAGCCCAGTCTGCAGCAGGTCCCAGGCCCCCCGTCCTCGGTCTGTGCACAGCCCAGTCTGCAGCAGGTCCCAGGACCCCCGTCCTCGGTCTGTGCACAGCCCGGTCTGCAGCAGGTCCCAGACCCCCCGCCCTCGGCCTGTGCACAGCCCGGGCTGCGAGCGGTTCCCAGCCCCC